TAAAGTCGTCGGAATTGCACTTTTCGTCAGATTTCCCTTTTAATTTTAAGCGGAGTACCTACTGAAATGTAATTGTCTTGATTTTCATACTCGATTATATTATCTAACATTTCCATTGTTACACAATGGATTAATAAGTTGAATTAACTTATCCATAATGAAAACACACAGCACTATCGATAATAATTACCTTCTAACAAAAAGTACAATTTGAGGTTAGATCCACCACGTCATGCTACAAACGATTAGATTTTGCTGGAATGTGCTGAGCGCGATTATATTTTGCAATGATGTCAAGAGCCAGCGTCTCTTGTGCTCTAATAGTTTATATTTAGTAAAATCGCAATCAGGCATACAGGAGAATCGGCTTAGAGGTCAACCCTAACAAGACGCAGATTCTGCACCAACCTGCACCAGAAACTAATCCCCAAGCCTCAAATATACCCATAAATGACCATTCTTTGCAGAATATAGAACACTATCCATAACTTTCGAGCCATCTCTCAACGAATGCAACCCTTGACGCTGAAATCCAACATCGCTCGAAGCGCGCTAGCGTGGCATTCGGGCGACTTCCAGAAAGAGTCTTCAAAATCACATAAAAAGCCTAGAAAAATACCACCAGCAATGCCTAGGAAGGATACTACGGATTAAATGGAAAGACCGACGAACGAACATTAGTGTTTTAGAGCAGACCGAAACAACTAGCATGGAATCCTCATCATTAGGTACCAACTTCGCTGGACAAGTCACTTCGTCCACATGCCCGAAACACGTCTTTCACGACAGATTCTCTACAGTCAACTGAAAGAGGGAAGACCGAATCAAGAAGTTGAAAAAAAAAGCTACAAAGATGTTGTAAAGGAAAATATGGGAAAGTGCCGCATCAATACCAGCAACTGGGAGACGACGGCAAATGATAGGCCCTCATGGCATCGAGTAGTCCACGACAGACCACAAATTTTTGAAGAACAGCGACGCAGACACGAGACTGAAAAGATAGACAGCAGGAAGGAGTGAGAGAACACAGGAAGAGACAATGCTGCCAGAGACTGGGTGTGCCAAGACTGTGGAAGAATGTGCGTATCCAGAAGCCATCAGAAAACGCACCATCGACGACAAGAGTGATCGCCTATGATTATGATGATGATCATTATAACTAAAGGTGATGACACGTATATAGAGCTATCTTTTCATTTTCCTTCAGAAAACAGAGCAGTACTATTTATGTTTGGCACAATCGACGACAATAGTTTGGAATAGAAGATAGTCATACTCGGTATCGAATGATCGCCTATGATGATGATGATGATTATATCTAAAGGTGATGACACGTATAATATAGAGCTATCTTTTCATTTTTCTTTGAAAAACAGAGCAGTACTATTTATGTTTGTTTTCATATTATTGGCTCGGAATAATTAACTTGCTCTGTGAAAACTTACAGCGTGAGTTAGGTAAGTTATTTAATTGAGGAATTTTACAGTGCTAATAACTTCGTATGTACAGGGGTTATGTAAAGTGATATAAAAAAATTGTAAATACAAAAGTTTTGGGGTTTCACATGAAATTTTCGAAGCTGATGTCAGAAACTTTTCTGTTTTTTTTTTTATAAATGTCAAAGTGACAGATGGTCAGTTTTTTCCTATGGAACACCTTATGACTTCATAGTTGAAAAGAGTCGAATTTTCTAATTTAAAATTGATTTATGTCTATTCCCGGCTCTTGAATTCAACTCAGTCATAAACAAATTGATTGACAAATGAAGTTCAATTCAATGTTTATCCGTCAGCTCCTGTTATAGAGAAATTAGTGTCAAGTGTGAGAGAGATAGATCTACTACTAGGTAAAAAAAACTATACAGAGGGAGTGAGATGAAATCGATTTTTGTTTATTCTCGGCTCTTGAATTCAACTCAGTCATAAACAAATTGATTGACAAACGACGTTAAATTCAATGTTTATCTGTCAGCTCCTGCTACAAAGAAATTAGTGTCAAGTATGAGAGAAATAGAACCATTACCACGCAAAAAAATATAGAGGAAGAGGGAGATGAAATCGATCTATGTCTATTACCGGCTCTTGAATTCAACTCAGTCATAAACAAATTGATTGACAAACGAAATTCAATTCAATGTTCATCTGTCAACTCCTGTTACAGAGAAATTTGTGTCAAGTGTGAGAGAGATAGATCCATTACTAGGTTTAAAAAAAACTATACAGAGAAGGAGAGATAAAATCGATTTTTGTCTATTCCCAGCTCTTGAATTCAACTCAGTCATAAGCAAATTGATTGACAAACGAAGTTCAATTCAATATTTATTTGTCAACTCCTGTTACAGAGAAATTAGTGTCAAGTGTGGGAGAGATAGAACCATTACTAGGTAAAGAAACTATACAGAGTGAGAGAGATGGAATCGATTTTTGTCTATTCCCGGCTCTTGAATTCAACTCAGTCATAAACAAATTGATTGACAAACAAAGTTCAATTCAATGTTTATCTGTCAACTCCTGTTACAGAGAAATTAGTGTGAAGTGTGTGAGAGATAGAACCATTATTAGGTAAAAAGCTATACAGAGGGAGTGAGATGAAATTGATTTTTGTCTATTCCCGGCTCTTGAATTCAACTCAGTCATAAACAAATTGATTGAAAAATGACCTGCAATGCAATGTTTATTTGTCAACTCCTGTTACAGAGAAATTAGTGTCAAGTGTGAGAGAGATAGAACCATAACCAGGTAAAAACTATACAGAGGCAGCTCTGAAATCGATTTGTGTTTATTTCAGGCTCTGGAATTCTCTCAATTTGAAGAAATTTAAGAGCCGGGAAAAGACAAAAATTGAAAAGGAATAGTTAAGCGAGAAAAATATTGAGAATTGAAAATTGAGAAAAATTTGAGAAGAAACTGGCTGATAAGCAGAAATACAAGGATTGTTTCTATTCCAGGCTCTTGAATGCTCTCAATTTAAGGAAATTTGAAGAAATTTAAGAGCCGGGAAAAGACAAAAATTGAAAAGGAATATCTAAATGAGCGAGAAAATTAATGAGAATTGAAAATTGAGAAAAATTTGGGGAGAAACTCGTTGATAAGCAGAAATACAAGGATTGTTTCTATTCCAGGCTCTTGAATTCTCTCAATTTAAGGAAGTTTGAAGAAATTTAAGAGCCGGGAGAAGGCAAAAATTGAAAAGGAATATCTAAATGAGCGAGAAAATTAATGAGAATTGAAAATTGAGAAAAATTTGAGGAGAAACTATGGTTGATAAGCAGCAATACAAGAATGTACTCTATTCCAGTATAACTGAAAGTCCCTCTATTTAGGGAATTTTGAAGAAATTCAAAAGCAGGAAATAGACAAAAATAAAGAAAGAATAAATCATTGAATGATGAAAGAAAATTCATGAGAATTGAAAATTGAGAAAAATTTGAGAAGAAACTGGTTGATAAGCGGAAATACAAGGATTGTTTCTATTCCAGGCTCTTGAATTCTCTCCAAATGACGTGATTTTAGAGTCAATTTCGGTTCGCGATGTCATCTTACCAAAATATGACGTGATTTATGACCTTACTGTCACATGCATAAACGTCATGTCATGGTCAAACTGACATATTTATGAGAACGTCAATTGCACCATATTTCAAATACGACATGGCTGACGTATTTATGACGTAACGGCATTCTTATTATTGTAAACTTCGTCTTTTTCCAGTGGCGGATGCACGGGGGGGTTATTACCCTTCCCTATATGGTATATGGTTAAACTATTTTTACTTGAGCCGTTTCGAAATATCGGGCTCTAAACTAAGAAAATAATACATTTGAAACACCTTGGTAGGCAGTGCATTGGGATTGTTTGACATGCAGAGGTCTTCCAATGTATTATTTTTTTGAAGTTTATAGCCCTATATTTCCAAAACAACTCGATTGAAGTAGTAAAACCATATATAGTTCAAATCAGAAATTTCGACTCTTTTCAACTATGAAGTCATACAGATATGGAGTGTTCCATAAGAAAGAACTGAGCATCTGTCAAAATTTGACATTTCTAAAAAGACAAAAAAAAATTTGACATCGGATTCGAAAATTTCAGATAAAACCCCAAAAATTTTGTATTTACAATTTTTTGATATCTCTTCACATAACCCCTGTAGTTGGGAGCGGGGGTCAATATAATATGGGGAAAGACCTTGTACCTATTGATAGCAACGGGGAACAAGAAACTTCAGGAGCGCAATACATGAACATATGAACTTCAAAAGATGCAAATATACAAATACTTAAAAAAAGAAAATGTGGTGAAAAATAACTCTTCAGCATTATCAGTAAATTATGGAAGATCAAAATTAAACAAAACAAGAATTTTGCTCCAGCAACAGATTACCAGAGTAAAAATTTGAATAATTGAAATCTTGATGAATCTAAAAAAAAAAAAAAAATCCAACATTTTAAATTTATACCATACGTGATAGAGCTAGGCTTTATGGAAAGCTTCAACGCTTCAACTCAGTTTCATCTATGGGAAGGGCAATAGAGGAAGATAACTACAAGAATATGTTTTATTTTTTAACAACAGGTATACAGGGTGATTTATGTAGCCCATGCATTAGCTAGAAGGTGGATTAGATGCTATCTCTGTTAATTCGCCAGCAATTCAATTGAATTCTAATGCACGGGTTACGACAATCACGGTGTATACTTAGTCAAGATTTAACACAAGAAGAACAGCAATAACGCAAAATAATAAAAACTATTAAAATATATATAAACAAATTTTTTGCTTATTGTATTGCAATGAAATTTATACAATAAAAATAAAATAGAAATGATAATTTTATTACCTATTAATATTATAAAAATTAAAATAATGAATAGGTTAAAGCATAATAAACTACCTACCAATGAATTTGAACATTCAACTAAATAAAAATCTATGAAAAAACTATTAAAGCAAATTATCTATATCTATGTTGAAGTAAAAACCTACTGTTGCTTACTAATATTTAAATATAGAAATTATAAAATCGATAAGCTTCAACATTCAAGTGGCGAAAAAACTATTAAAAAATCACATAAAATTATTGTTTATGGTGATAATTTCTTTCCAGCAGTTATTTTCAATGTCATTAGAATTATCATTATATTGAACCATATTATCTATTGTTTTTTCCTGGTCTACATTTGAATGGATTATTATTATACCCATTAGGTAGATACTTAATTGTTACTGGAATCCAAGCTAAGTTTAACACGATAATGAGCTTGCTTAGGAATATAATGGAAAATGACCATCCAACCTACAAATGAAGAACAGATGATCGAGTTTCAGAGTAAAATTATGATAAATATTGACCTACTATTTTTGTCTGTACATTTGAACTGAATACCGCAGGCCCTTGACCTGATAAGCAGGTGATTTGACCTTGCCTTACAATGCGAATAGTGTAATTTGGAACACCTGCCATATTATAATATACATAATATACTAGTCGAGCTGGGACCGGACCGTGATCAGACCGTGACTTGATCTTCAGTATGAATCGTCCTCAATGCTGCTACCTGCGGTGAAATATACCTCGAACTTCAGGATCATCTGTATAAGCCGAGGCATAACCTGTGATGAGAAGATCCAATTTCCATTAGCCTTTAATGAAGTTGTGATCTGGTTATTTTATCATATTGTCATTTAAAAATAATTTAGGACTTACCTACAACAATTATTGTATACTCTAATTTCTTTTGCTCCTCTGGTCTTGAACTTGAAGACATATCGAATTGGCGAGTTTAAATCAAACCTATAAAAAAATATTTTTTTAAATTTTGCTTCTGTTTTTTATTTATACAGGGTGATTCCAAAAGGGCGTATAAGCTCTCCACTACGTCGTGGGGGACCCTTCAAGGAATCCCAGAAAAATAGTTAAAATTGCTGTAGGCGTTTATACAATACGTATTTGTATGATTTTTGAATTGCTAAAGAATTTGCTTTGAGAAGATGATTTTTTATGCTTTTTATTTTTTTGACTAAATTGACAATAATAATAACAATTGTTGTTTCCATGATACATAAAACAAAAAATGAACAAAATGAGTTGCGATTTTAAAATTAACATACATAGATTTTTTGGAGAGTTCAAACATATACCGCCCCCTTTGAAAGGCTTGTCTTTCAACAAAAAATAAACACTTAAACATTAATCTCCTAAAGGCAGCGGACAAACTCTTGATACTGGCCCTTTGAAAGTTCCATTTATAGTTTTAACATTCACCACGCGAATTATGCCATCTTCTCCAGGAAAAACTTCCACTTTTCGGCCCAATTTCCAGTTGAGTGGAGGTGATTCGTCCTTCAGCAAAACCAATGAATTCATTTTCACGTTTGGAAAATGTTTCTGTCATTTAGAGCGTTCTTGAAGTGTACAGGGTTATCCAACGAAAGTGCTTTTTACCTTATATACCTGTTAATTGAAGATGAGGTACAAAAAAATGTTAAATATAAAAATTGTTGGGATTTTTATGAGGAATTAGGAGCATTTATTTTTTAAAAAATGTAAAGGCGGGTTTAGAAAATAGAGCAAGAAAGAAATGTCTTGCTTAATTTAAGTGGAATGACCCATTTTAGAATATGTTTTTGGATTCTACATTGAATTTGAGCCCTGATTTATGTTACATGTCCTATAGTAAAATGTAGCAATTTTGGAGATATCAAAAAATCAATGATTTTTCAATATAAATTACGAAAAAAATTATATTTCATCGTTGGAAGCTGGTAAGAGTGGCAAGTTTCCGTCTAGTCTTGCTTATTACTATTGTTTTATGATCATTATTGAAAATGTGTCCAATATTAGATGAAATATGCAAAATTTTGCTTAAATCTAGCTTCACCTGATTCACCTTTTACGTAATTTACCTTGGTAAAAAGTGAACCAGGTGAGGCTGGATTAAAGCAAAATTTAGCGTATTTGATCTAATATTGGACACATTTTCGATATAATAATTAAAAACAATAGTAATAAGCAAGACTAGACGGGAACCTACCACTCTTACCAGCTTCCAAGGATGAAATATCATTTTTTTCGTAATTTATATTGGAAAATCATTGATTAGGGATATCTCCAAAATTGCTACATTTTACTATAGGACATGTAACACAAATCAGGGTTCAAATTCAATGTAGAATCCAAAAACGTATTCTAAAATGGGTCATTCCATTTAAATTAAGCAAGAAATGTTAAATTTCTTGCTCTATTTTCTAAACCCGCCTTTACATTTTTTTAAAAATAAATGCTCTTAATTCCTCATAAAAATCCCAACAGCTTTTATATTTAACATTTTTTTGTAGGTACCCCTTCAATTAACAGGTATATAAGGTAAAAAGCACTTTCGTTGGATAACCCTGTACATAAGTACTGTTGAGACCAAGCTTTCCAAAAGTGTTGAACTTGCTGCTGGAGACGCTGATACAAGGATAGACGATTTTGAACAATTTCTCGAACATCATTTTGAGGCAGTGCAGTAAGGGGTTCTCCAACGGAAGAAGAGGCCGAGAGTTAAGAATAGCTTCAATTTGAACAATAACTGTGTATAAGCTTTCATAAGTTAAATGAGCATTTCCTAAAATACGTTTAAGATGAAATTCAGCCGATTTCTCGCAAGCTTCCCATGGATCACCATGATTAGGACCATATGGAGGGGAAAAATTCCAAACAATAATATTGACAGACAAGTATTCAGTAAATTTAGAGTATTTTTGAATTTGTTTTATTGTATCGCGTAGTTCTCTTGCTGCACCAATAAAATTTGAACTATTATCGGTGTATACATCACTACAAATACCCCTTCGAGATACAAATATTTTGAAACAGTTGAGAAATGAATCAGTAGGCAAATCCCCTACTAATTCTAAATGTACAGCCTTTGTAGTGAAGCATACAAAAAGACATAAATAACATTTTACCAAAGATCGATTACGAGATTTGCCATCTTTGAGAAGAAGAGGCCCTGCAAACTCAATTCCTGTTGTTTGGAAAGGACGTTGGGGTACAATGCGTTTTTTAGGTAAATTACCCATTGAGAAATTAATTTCAGAAGGTTTAGCTCTAAAATATGTTAAACAAGAACGTATATACTTTTGAATTATGTTGCGTCCATTTATTGGCCAGAATTTATTTCGAATAGATGCTTAAGTTAATTGTGAACCTGCATGCATCAGTCGTACATGCTCATGAATAATTAATAATTTGGTAAAATTTCCAGTGCTGGGTAATAAAATTGGATATTTTTGATCAAAGTTTAAATCTGAATTTCTTAATCTACCGCCTACCGGAATTAAACAATTATTATTCAAGTAGGGTGTTAATTTCAATAAATGATTTTTAGGAGGTAGTTCTTTAAATTTTTTCAAGAAAGCGTATTCTTCTGGAAAATAATAACTATTTTAAACAAAAAAATTGTTGATTGGTTAAGTTCATCGATTGACAGAAAACCTGAAACACGAGAATACGGATTTTTTCGACTATCTATAAATCGTAAAATATATCCAAGAACCCTTCTCATTTGCTTAAAAGAAGAAAATTGATTGACAAAAAATATTTCACTTGAGTTCTAAATTCGCATATTAACAGGATTTTTTTTCAATTCAGGAATTTCGCTAAGTGAGATGCTATTATCGGGTAAACATATTTTTTCTTGATTAAGAAAATGTGGTCCATTCCACCATAGTCCACATGATTTTAAACCTGAGCATCTAAGCCTTTAGAAATAATATCAGCTGGATTTTGAGTTGTAGAAACATGAGTCTATTGATTTGCTTTTGAAAATTGTTGAATTTCTGACACATGATTTGCAACAAAAGTATTGAGTTGATTTGGTTGCTTATGAATCCAAGCTAAATGTTAATGATTTTTTTATTGTTTGAGTTAATCTAATCATAATTACAGCTTCACAAAGTTCAAGTCTAGGAATGCTGACACTCTTTACAGGAGAGACTCTAGACTTTGCACAAATAAGACAAGCATAAACTTTTCCTGTAGAATCAACACTACGTAAATAGCAACAACAACCATATGCCTTCTGAGAAGCATCACTAAAACAATATAATTCGATTGAAATGGCATTTGAACAGAAAATATACCTTGAAATGCGGATGTCGTTTATGAATGGAATTTGGAAAATTTCAACCAACACTTGTGAAGATTCATTGGAATGCTTTCATTCCAATCAACACCAGATTGCCAAAGTTGCTGAAGAATAAGCTTGGCCTGAATAACACAAGGACCAACTAGCCCAAGTGGGTCAAAAATTTTGGCTGTGATTGAAAGAATGGTTCTCTTTGTGATGTGTGCGAACTTAGTAAAATTGACATCATATTGTAAGGTATCTTGAGTAGAATTCCAAGTTAATCCAAGGGTTTTGGTTGTCTTATCATCAGAAAAAATTTTACTGGCTATATCTGATTTATCAATTGATAAATCTCTAAAAATTGAATCTTCATTTGATACAAATTTACGTAAGTTGAACCCATAGGATTTGAGAATTTGAATAGGATCTGCAATAAATTTTGTAGCGTTTTCAACGGAATTTGAACCCGTAAGAAGGTCAGAGGGGTTGAATCTTAATCAGTAGGATTTTTTGAAAGTTTTTGTTCAATGGCATGAAAACGCGTAAGAGCCATTTGTAATGAATCACCAATATTCTGAAAGCTTTGAATGAAAGGATGGTTCTTCAAGCTGCCAAAATTGTTTTAATTGTTGATTAATAGCGCGAGGTTCAATTATGTCAAGGGTTAAATTACGAATTGAATTATTTGAAAAATTCAAAGGTATTGGACCAGATAAAATCCAACCAAGTTTTGCAAAATACTTCCAGTATTTGGTAAAATAATTTGGCCAACGCATATTAAATGCCAAAATATTGAAGCACCTAACAGCATATCAATTAAGCCTGGTTCATTAAACGTATTATCGGCTAAAATAATATTTTTGGGTACTTGCAACAAAGTAGTATCTATAACAAATGCTGGCAAGTTATTAGACATTTTTTCTGTAATTAAAAATGAAATATTTTCTAATCTGAATGAATTGATTTGTGATTTAATGGTAGCCTGAGTTTTTTCAAAAATAGTAGTTACACCTTTACCAAAACCTTCCACTGAAAAAGAAATATTTGTAGATAAGAGACCAAGTTTAGAAAACATATCCTTGGAGATGGAATTTGATTGCGAGCAATTATCCAAAAGTACTCGTCATGAATGAATTTTGCCATATTTATCAAAAACCGAAACAATTGCAGTAGATAAAAATATATGACTCAAATGAAATTGAATTTGTAACTGAAAGAGATCGACTTTAAATATGATTCGAATGTGTATTTGAATGAGTTGAATTGTCAACACTTTCATTAGTCGTTTGCATGACCTGAGTTTTATTGGAGGTGTTTGGGTTAAAATTTGATTATTGAGGGTTGCTTATATGTAATAAGGTGTTATGTCTTTGAGAGCATTGTTTACAAGAATACAGGTTCCGACAATCTTTTGAAAAATGACCTTATCGTAGACAGTTAGTGCAAGCTTGTAATTTTTTGATCTTATCTAAGCGATCTTTAGGTTCCAATTTTAAAAAATCGTCGCATGAGTAAATAAAGTGGTTTTTTTCTACAAATGAGACAATTTGCCTGTTTTGTTTGATTTTCATTTGTTATGGTTGTATGAGTAATTGTTTTAGAAGGAATTGATTTTTGTGTACACCATTTGGTTGAATTTAAATTTTCCAATTATTGACAACGTTTGTTTAGAAATGAT